CAATCCACCCTCCCAACTGGTGTAATCACTGGATCACTTGATTACATGTGTCAGTCAATCCACCCTCCCAACAGGTGTAATCACTGGGTCACTAATTACATCTGTCAGTCAATCCACCCTCCCAACTGGTGTAATCACTGGGCCACTGATTACATGTGTCAGTCAATCCACCCTCCCAACTGGTGTAATCACTGAATCACTGATGACCCAGTGTACCTAAATACACGGCAATTACAAAATATAGGGAAAACAAATAAACAAAATACAAGAATAAATAGAAAGAGAGAAAAACTGATACACACTAGACTTACATGTACATTGCACTATAGTAATGTGAATAACAGTAAAAAGCAACGCTGCAATTACTAGCAATATAAAATGACATGCACAAAGGTTGCAGTGAGAGTGCTATCTGTATTAAAACATTAAATATGTGGTTACACAATCTATAAATTGAATCTAAGTGGACAGAAGAGTTTCAGTGAAGTGACTTGCGCAGTGAAACACACAATACTGAAGTGTGGTGAGCAGACAAACAGCTGGCATTTCTGAGAAAAATTACAGCGAGGGAGTCATCACCTGCACATGTGACTGACAGCGATAGGGTGTTATTGTTTACAAATATGTGTCTACCTACGAGTCTTTGCATTTTTAGTGTATGTTGTTATTGTTGCTTAGTGCTCAATGTCCACATGTGCTAAGAGGATGACTCCTTCGCTTTAAAGATTAGAATATATAGAGGCCAGAAAAAAAAATGTTCATGTTTTAGCTCATTGAGTGCATCAGTTAAAAATCTTAATAAAAGGTTTTTGTCAGAAGAAAAATCAAAATAAAACAACATATAATTTAAAAACTAATCAACATGCAGACTTTTTTTCCTGGTCTAACAAGAGATGTTTGGTGTATTTCTTTCGTGGTGAATGACAACAGGGCTTGAACTTTGGAGTTGAGAGGACAACCGTTCAAGAGGCTAAAATTTATAATGGCCTTAGCATATAGATAAAATATAGGGATATTAAGGAGTGCACTAAGGCAAACTCATTGGACATCAAGACAATGACCTTTGATGTGTACATGAATTTCAAGCCCTGTGACAGTATAGATATATAATATGTATGCACACACACAACATACTACTATCTAATATATAAAGGTTGAAAGAGATCATAATATATTTTGTGTCCAAGTGATATGGGCTGATATGTTATACACACAGGTTATGTCCACATGAATAAGTGTAACTGCAACCTGTACTACAAGGAATGTGTAGAAACCTAAGACACCTAATAGAAAAATATTCATCGCAGAACTTGCAATCAAAATGGCATCTTGCTAATTATAAGTATCTATACGTGAGAGAGAGTTGATGCAATTCTCTGTCTCAGCTAACAACATTCAAAATAGATGACTGCAAACAAAGTGTCAAAATTGAGAGTAAAAAAAGAACACAATCACCATAGATACCTGAGGCTTGAACTGAAAGTTTAAAGAAGATTGCTCAGACCCCATCTTGGAAGAAAAGATAAAATTAAACAAAACAAGACAAGTGGTGTATATATCATTATTGAAGGTGAATGAATAGAATTTGTAAAACATGCAATAATGTCAATTGATGTTGTACATGTACCTTTACAATAATAGGCATTTGAGATAAAGGCAAATATAAGAGAGTCCATTGCAATTAGTACATGGCATTTTAAATATCTCATTGAATAATTTAATATTTAAAACATGCTGTGTATAATCATAGACACTAGAAAAAACAAGGATGTAGTAGAACAGTTGTACTTCCGTTAATGTACATGTACAGGTGAACAGCAAATGTTCAACAAAATGCATCACACTGGCGCCTCAAAGCGCATTGTCGTCATCAAAAAATTTGCAGGTAGTCAAAGTGCACAAAATGACCAAAAACAAGTTATTCTTTTGTACATAGCAAATAACATGGCTGAAGGACTTTTGAGAGCATGTCACATTATAACAATATGTGTTTGGCCTGATGATTTGTTATTAATTTATCTACAGAAACAACCACAGTGTGAAAGTACATGGCATGTTTCTTGGTTTTTCTAGTGTCAATGTGTTGTTTGATTTGAATGATTATGTGTCATGTTGACTGTTGATGTGATGTTATATCGATAGAAGTTTTAGCTGGCATGATTATAGATTACGCTGTTTTTTCATGAAATCATATTAGCTGTTGTAATCATTGATTGAGCTGTTTTTTCACTAAATCATATTAGCTGTTGCAATCATTGATTGAGCTGTTTTTTCAATAAATCATATTAGCTGGCATGATTATAGATTGAGCTGTTTTTTCATTAAATCATATTAGCTGTTGTAATCATTGATTGAGCTGTTTTTTCACTAAATCATATTAGCTGTTATAATCATTGATTGAGCTGTTTTTTCAATAAATCATATTAGCTGTTGTAATCATAGATTGAGCTGTTTTTTCAATAAATCATATTAGCTGTTGTAATCATAGATTGAGCTGTTTTTTCAATAAATCATATTAGCTGGCATGATTATAGATTGAGCTGTTTTTTCACTATTAAAATCATATTAGCTGTTGTAATCATAGATTGAGCTGTTTTTTCATTAAATCATATTAGCTGGCATGATTATAGATTGAGCTGTTTTTTTCACTATTAAAATCATATTAGCTGTTGTAATCATAGATTGAGCTGTTTTTTCATTAAATCATATTAGCTGGCATGATTATAGATTGAGCTGTTTTTTTCACTATTAAAATCATATTAGCTGTTGTAATCATAGATTGAGCTGTTTTTTCACTAAATCATATTAGCTGTTGTAATCATAAATTGAGCTGTTTTTTCAATAAATCATATTAGCTGTTATAATCATAGATTGAGCTGTTTTTTCAATAAATCATATTAGCTGTTGTAATCATAGATTGAGCTGTTTTTACACTATTAAAATCATATTAGCTGGCATGATCATAGATTGAGCTGTTTTTCACTAAATCATATTAGCTGTTGTAATCATAGATTGAGCTGTTTTTACACTATTAAAATCATATTTAATAGCTGGCATGATCATAGATTGAGTAGTTTTTTCAATAAATCATATTAGCTGTTGTAATCATAGATTGAGCTGTTTTTTCAATAAATCATATTAGCTGTTGTAATCATAGATTGAGCTGTTTTTACACTATTTAAATCATATTAGCTGGCATGATTATAGATCACACTGTTTTTTCACTAAATCATATTAGCTGTTGTAATCATAGATTGAGCTGTTTTTCAAAAAATCATATTAGCT